TCGAATGAATAGTGTGTATGGGATCACTTCTTCAATGGTTGAGCTATATAAAGTTAGTAAATCAGCTCCACAGTGTAGTATTGGAGCCATGTAAAGCCAGAAGTTTGGTTCCTGGTCCGTGTTGTGTTTGATTTTCTCAGCTGGGGTGGTGAAGATGGTTTATTAGTTTCTCAGGAATAAGCTTCACTCTCTGTGAGCTCCATTGGTGCTTCAGACATCAAGTTTCCTTAGTTTGTCAACCATAACCTTTACATTTTTAAAAGAGATGATATTACTATGATCCAGCCAGTTTGCTTCTATAGGTTTATCATTTTCCCAATCAATTTGTTGGCAAATCGCAGCTGATCTTGTTCTGTATGAATATTGAATAAGACTGCCTTATGCTAAATTATGGCATTTAGAAAGTAAATTATTGAAAGCTGGTTAATACTGGATTATTCAGAAGATATCACCCTAATAGAAATAGAACCAAAGATGATCTGCGCTTATTTCTTTGCTGCTGCAGAGTCTCTCTGAGAGTGATTGGGCCAAGCGCTGATTAATGAGCTATAAATTGAGAATGGAGCTCTGAATAATCATCATGAATGGAGGCAAATCTGCCAGCTAGTTCTAGCTCCTTGTTGCACAAGTTCATGCACCTAGACCAAGTTAATATCCAGCAAGTTTCTGGCTTGAGATGATTGTATGGTGTAACTCAGCCAGATAAACTGGAGGTATTGTGTTCTCAAATCTGATTGTTTGTCTCATCTGCTTCCTCAAGTGATGTGTTGTCCTTAAAGAGACTTCTTGACAACGTGAGCACCCAATCTCAATAGCTCAAACACTCTGTCCCATATAAACTATGTTGTAACAAAGGGTGCGTTACTGAGATTTTCTATAGTTCAGTCAGGGAACCATAAATAATATACTTTGGTCAAACATGAACAATGAAGTACATGAAATCTGGAATAATTTTTGGAAAGGACAAAAGTGTATTGCACAGCCATAAATTTGGGCAGATTCTATGACTGGACAATTTTTGCATAAATATTGAATGGGTAGAAGAAATGGGCTTGTTGGCCAAACGACTTGTTCTCGCTTTCTTGCATGAAAACTCAGAATGGCTCAGAACCCGAGACTGTGTTAACTGAGTATTTAATAGTAAAATAATAATCCTTGCATTTGGTATACTGGTGTTCACGTCAGGAGGACATCCTAAAATGTTTCGCAAAATTTATTTTAAAGTGTAATGACTATGTATTTGTATTTTGTAGGGGAACCCAGCAGCTAAGTTGAACACCAAAATGCTGCCCTTTGTGAAGGGTGCTGCAAGTTGCTGTTGTTTTAGACAAAGAAAGGTATAATGGATTTACTTACATGGGTCTCCCATGCCCCATGCTAAAAGTGCAACAGACCACAAGCTAGGCCTTTCTGGTGTACGTACAATGATCATACATACATGATGCCTTCATTTTTCAGGCATGGTGTAATCTCCTTGATTTATCTGTGCTATTCTTTTTTTAAAAATATTAACCAATAAATAGAAGAATTATTGTTCTGAGTTACCTGTCTTACAACCTTTGCATTGTACTTTTTGGAGTAATGTGCTTTCTGACCTATGCATTGTGCTGTGTTATTTAGTGACCTGACCTGATTCAGGACAAGCTCCGTTATGTGTTTTCCATCTATATAACGTGCTTGGACATGATGCCTTTAGAAGACAAAGAGAAAAAAAACTTTATATTTGGCTCAAGCCCTGGATTTAGTGTACCTTCACGGTTAATATGTATTGAAATCAAAACTCATTGTACCTTCTCATACTTCAACCCAGGACCTCCTTATCTCCCGGAATCTTGCCTCCTCAAACAATATTTCTTCACAACCAACTTTGGCATCATCTAATCACACATACATTTTTGATATCTCATCTATTCTTCCTGTCCTTTTTAATCTTGGTGCACTATTGACCTTGGACCTTCACCTAATGTTTTTTTTAACACTTCTTTTTTTCTTCCTCTTTTTTACAGTATTACCTTTAAGTGTTCCAAAACCAATAAATTACATTTGTATAGCGCCTTTCATGTCGGGATGATGTCCCAAGGCACTCCAGAACAATTTAGATGATCTTTTTGTGTTTCTCCAATGATTTCCTGAGCGCCTGGATTTTTTCCACAGCACAATTGCTGTACTTGGAAATTATTGACACAAGATGGACATTTGCATGTCTACAGCAACGAGAGCAGCAGATGGGGCTATTGCTCTGCTACTATCTGAAGTAACTACGACTGAATTCTTCTGCATGAGAGTCGCAGCACAGGCTGAGAGAATTCATTTCTCATGCTATATGGCATGCCTATCTCAATGTCAGTATAATAATAATAATAATCCTTGCATTTGATAGAGAGCCTTTTCACATCTTCGAGACATCTCAAAGTGCTTCACAGAATATACTGTAAAGTGAATTGACTACATTTTGTGGGCGAAACACAGCAGCCAATTGTGCACAGCAGTGTCCCACAAACAGTCGTGGATTGATTGAAGTGACCAAATTATTTTTTTCTTTTGAAGGAATTATTACCCCCGGAAAAGCAATCCGCCAATTGACTAACAACACATCCGGGTTTCTACTAACAGCTAGGTAAACAGAGCAGTGTGATAATACGCGTTCTGAAAGGAGGGATGGGGGATTGAAGCAGGGTTCCTGCTTATGGTTGCTATCTACCCACTTATGATTGGTGTAAAGTGTGTTTGTGTGGCAGCTGGGTGAGGAGAGAATCAGGCTTTGGTGTAATGTTCCCATTATCTTGCCACTCACTATCTACTGCTCACATATGAAGAATAGCCATTTGGGCAAAGTACCAGTGGCTTGGAATTATACTCCAGTATGCCTCAGCAGTTCCAAGAAGCGAGAGAGTAAAATACAAATCAGTTTCAAAACTACCTTTTTTTTATCCCCCCAAACATCTGTCATAAAAAAATGTACCTTAACATTTGGTTGATCAGTTCCATGTGAGCCATCACTAAGTAAACTGATTTGAATAAGCAACTGAGCCCAGCTCTGTGAGGCAGCTGAATAAATCTGTACATAATCGGGTACATAATACATAACTATTTCTCAGTGTCTCAATTCATGTCTGATACATTATTGGGCTCAGGATCTTCAGCTGAGCCTCTTCATCCATCACTTACAGTTCAAATAAAATGTTTCTGCGTGAAGTCTATTAAAGGGAAAAAGCCTGAATTTTCAGTTTTTGTATAATATTGAGACTCGTTAATGAAGGCATCATATTGAATTCTTTTAACTAAACATTTCTCTTTATCAGACTTGATTCTAATCTCAAATGTTGAGATTATTTATCTATAGAAATTATATTTTATACTTTAATGGAATTTGGGCATGCCATGTCCTCATTGATGTACAGCACATTGATCAACAGTGAGAAGCATTGTGGAATATTTAGGAACAAAGTAAATAGGCCTTGGGAAATGTGGAGATCCAGTAAATGTATTTTGTAAATTGATTTGACAATTCAACTGGAAAAGTTTACACGTTGGCTATACGGTTGTAATGGCAAAACCCAAAGAAGCTATCTAACAGAGTTGCAGATGTTAAAACTATTGTGCGGCGAGAGACTGAAAAGGCAGATTTGAGAGCCTGGCTGGTTTTGATCCTATGTTTCCAGTCAAGGTTAGTTTGGGCTCAGGTGTGTAGTAATGTTTTATTCTCCCGGGTCCCTGGAGAGAGAAATGTGAACAGGTGGATAAGGTGCAGATAAAGGGTGATACAAACCTTCTGGGCAGGTTTGGGCTTGTGCAAGGTTGGCAAAGATCACCTCTCCCAATATTCCCTGCTCAGTTTGTATCGTCACACACTGAGGACCTCTAGAGGCCTTTCAGAAATATTAATATCTGATTGCAATTAAGTATAGAGTTCGGATGATTAACCTATGTTGGCTGCATGAGATATAACAGATACATATGGTTCCTAAGTGAACAATATTGACTTACAGATAGCACAATTGTTATCATATAACTAGTCAATACATTACTTTGGAGCTTCAGTGTAACCAAATCTGGTTCTCTTTTCCTTTACAAATCCTTGGATTTGTAAATCACTTCTGATAACAAGACAAGTAGTGGGATCTTGTTTTTATAATAACAAAAAATAGTTGTGGTTTACTCTGTACAGAATCACAAGATAATAACAGAAAATAATATACCAACAAGATAGGCTAACAATGGTATGAATCATAGCACAACTTGCACCCAGGCAACAAAACAGTTATTGGGAAGCTTAATTCTCAAACAAACAAAGCCAAACTGCCACAGAAACATAAGAGAGTTTGACACCTCCTCTCTACCAGGTGAAAATTAACATGTACACATTTTCCAAACGGTTCAAAACTTTTCTGTTAACAACTCAACAGTGGATCAAAGTTGGAATTGTCACTCCCATCTACAAACAATAAGCGCTTTAACTCATTGGCACTATTTTGATTGGCTATATACTTTTTTTTGATGTCAACGCTGAAGACCTTTTTATAGGGTTCCCTTGATGGTTCAGTTGGTGAAGGCACTTCAAAGGCCCCAGTGAGTTTGGCAGTTGGGACACTGAAATTAGCCTCAGGCCTCCTGCGTGAGGTGGAAATGAGCCAAAGTTTCAACTCAGTATTTAATCAACTCTGCTGGAAAATGTGTGTGAAAATAATGTCTCCAAAAGAACCTTACATACACTATATAATATATTTATGATATTTTTAACAGAATAGAGAAAGTAAACCCAGATCAATACATTCAGATATCCCAGTGCAGCAGGATAAGAGAGCAAAGGTTCAAGCTATAATATGGGGTCATAACATCTGAACTTAATCTTTATCTGGCATCACCAGATGATAAGAGTAGTTGAAGATATAGTTTAGGGCAGATACTAAGAATAACCATTTATTTACACAGAGAATCAAGCACTAGTTAATCATTTACTGCTTCAGCATTTTTTAACATGTTTTTTTTTCTGGTCACAGAGTAATTTATCCATCATTTGACCATTCTCCAGCCAAGATGGCTCAATCTTCACCAGCTGATGAAGGCCACACATTTGAAAATCTCTGGAGCAGTCTGTAAGTGTGGGTTTTAATGCATCTTTTAGCTTTAACCCAATCCATTCTATCTGTCCTCAGGCAACCTCCTTCAAGCTTCATGCTTTGCAAATTCCTTTCAGTTATATACTTGCATTGAAGAAAGTATATGAAGTTGCCCATGTCCTCCAAGTCAAACAAATTTTAGGCATGTTGCCCTCTCTTTTTAGGTCCCACTGTATGATGCACTATTGTCCAACTAAAAGGATGGACAAGGGACCTTCCCCCTGGGTTCCATAACTTGTGAGGTAAACAACAACAAATTGTGTTTATATAGCAGCCTTTACGTGGGGAGCGCCTCAAGAGCATTTGTTGTGGTTGTTATTGTTGAGATACATAAGAATGAGTAACTATCTGATTTCCCTCTTATATGACAAATGTTCCTTTATTCTCAATACTTGGTTCCCCAAACAGATTCCCAAGGTCAGTTGTAGTGTCCCTACTTCTACCCAGCTGAGATCAGATACTCAGCCAATTCAGGTGATCAAACCTGGGACCTTCACAGTCTGTATGGGTCAGCTACTCGCTGAATAAACTCATTTAGTTATTGGGGGAATTAATCCAGATATTTGTATGTCAAAAATACAACTAGTGTAAAAGTCATATCTTAAAGAAACTAAATAATTGCTGATGGTTAATCACCTAAAAAATAAGTGATCAAATTCACTGGTGAACTATGACATTGTTTCCGTTGTTTCAGAGAGCCAGACAGCACTTATTTTGATATCCCCCAAACCAACCTCTCTGGCAACAATGAAGCTGTCCCTAACTTGCCACAGAACCGGACCGAGGTTTGCATGGATGTGTTCCAGATGAGAGACATGAATGAATCTGTGATGGTGAGTAATTTAAGCCCTTCATATCACTTTTGTTGGCTTGGATGAAGTCCTGATGAAGATCAACTCACTATGTTCCTCAGGGTAATGACATGGAAGTCTGGTGTGTCCTCAGAATGTTTGTGGTTCATAGAGCATGTACTGGGAGCTTTCCATTGGAATATAGTTTAGGTTTTCTGTGTATTTCATTTATGTAATTAAAACTGCATTCTATATAGCGCCTTTCACATTGGGAGGATATCTCAAAGTGCTTTACAGGATATACTATAAAGTGGAATGACTATTTTGTGGGTTGTAAGAGTGAATTTGATGGGCCAAATTACATTATCTCACACCAAGTTTTATGTTCTTATGTAAACACTGTAAACTGCACCTTCTATTGTGAAAACTGTCAAGCACCTTAATAATCACAATAATTGTGACAAAGTACAGGAAAGGGGAAAGCAAGAAAATTGCAAGGTGTGTGTTTACAGCAAAATATCTTACGTGGCCTCCAAAAGAATCAGCAGCTTCAGACAATGTAAAAATAAGTACAGTGATCCAATTTGCCCGAACATAATGCACCTTCTCAGACATCCATCCCCACATCTAAATGTTTACATTTAAATATGTAATAAGTGTCTAAATATATACATAAATATGTAGACATAAATGTAGAGCCAGAATCACATGTGTACTCACACATGGATGCAACCTTACTTAAACATCTGTGCTAACATACTGGAAGTTTTGGGCCAGCTTCATTTTGGGAAATAGCAAGAGACTGCTTATTTGGAAAAGAGCACAGCAATAGCTGGCAGAGTAAGAATCTGCCACTACAGGCACTACGTCTGCTGAATCACAAACATTTTCAACAGGTTTTTGTACATTTAATCATAGCTTTTAGTATAACTAATGCATGTGTAAACCAAAACAAGATTAACAACCTAATGATCACTTCATGTCCTTGTGCTTTGCCTCTACAATCAAATTAGCTTGAAAGGCAATTTACTGGAAGAAAATGCCATTTAAAATGACACACATTTGCATTTGAAGTTATTCTACTCCACTGAAATCAAATTCCCTTCAGTATGTGAACCTTTCTCTCCCAAATCATAACATTCCCACTAAAAATTTTATAAGAAAGGGAATCTAAGTCCTCAGTTGGGGGAGTGGTTGGAAAAAGGCAGAATCTAGGCATCTTTTGACAACCAATTATGGGCCACAAGCTTGTTGGCAAGGAACTCTGTTAAACCATCTGTAGCGGCCAAAACAGCCACAAGCTGAATACTGAGTGAGGGAGTTAAGCTACTCTGTCATATGAAATACAAACTTTGTTTAAATCAGTGGGAGTTTAATTATAAAATAATGTGTTGGCAAATTACTTTAAGGTTCGACTGCAAGGAATCTGGATATGTATTGATAAATTAATGGATATCTGCTCAACTTAAATAGAGTCAGATGCTGGTTAAAGCAAAACATCTTCACTTATAAAAGGTTTGTCTTGAGCCAACATGTCCTGGAAATATAGTAAAAAAAAGATAATTGTTAGTAACGGAACCTATTCTGTTTATCTTTCAGTAATATAAGAAATATATGGTATTTATACCAACATAGCATAATCTCTACTGCTCTGTGTACACTTTCGCAAACCAAATATATACCCAATTCACTTTACAGTATACTCTGTGAAGCACTTTGAGATGTCTCGAAGACATGATAAGGCGCTATATCAAATGCAAGGATTATTATTAATATTGTTACTGCTAGACACGTGGGAACAAGCGATCTGCATCTGCTTTACCAGGGACCAGTACATGGCCTGAGGAAACCTAAGGAAAGAGAGAGAAAATACTCATTTATTTTAATTTTTTTGCAAAGAATACTAATCTTGAAGATGATTCAAGGCATTTCCCTTGAGTCTGATTGGTTACTTTTATTATTTTTCACTAGAGGGCTCCACTGAGAATTATTACACAGCCATTCATAATTTAGTTGCCGTTTACACCTCTCTAGTTTTTTATCTTCACACACAGTCATTTCCCACCATTACTATTCGACCTCCTTGAAGGAGTAGAACAAGAAATTGGGTGGTATACAACAACAATAATTAATAATAATAATCCTTGCAATTGATATAGCACCTTTTCATGTCATCAGAATGGCTCAGAGTATTGTTTGTAAAATATAATGACTGTATTTTGTAAGTGATATGGCAGCCAATTTACTCACAGCAATATATCACAAGCAGCCATGAAGCGAATGACCAATTTTATCTTAGGGAATCGTGCCAGGACACCAGTTGAAACAATGGTTATAAACTTATCTCGTGACTTAACATGTAATATTATCAGATTGACCTGTGATATGTGACCATACACAGACTGACACAGTACAATGTCCACTACACCTGATAATAGACTAATCTAAGTGAGTGAGAATCCACTTGTCTGATTGGATAGTTTTGATTTAAATCGTATGTAAAGTTGTGAGAACCAAATATCAGTGTCTTGTGTATTTGAGACTCAAGAGAAACGGTAAACTACTACAAAGTACAGAATATTGGATGTGGCTTGACCTCTCCCACTATTGAATGTCTTGTACTTGTATTTCCATCAAATTGATTATGTTGGATTAATATATTATTAAAATCGCGTAAATTCCAAGAAATATAAAAGATTTCTAGATAGAGACATCAGGGAATCGATCTGAATTTGGTCTTGCGGTCAACACTCAATGCTGCTTAAAAAGCAGCCAAAAATAAAAGGGTCATTTTCATTGTCCAGTCTTAGGAGTCAGTTGTCTGATATTGCTCCTTGGAAGTAAGACGACAAACATTAACAAGTACTGCGGACAATGAAATAATGCCTTTTTAATTAACGGAGCCCCTCTGTCACCGCTGTTGTGAAATGGTATAGTCCCAACATCTTGGGCAAGCCTGGGCCTGCCTGTAGTTATTGAATCGTGATGAGGAAAAGGGGGGAGGTCCAAGTTTTTTGTTGTTAGATGCAGTCAGGAGAGAGGATTGAAAGAGAGAGACAGAGAGAGAGAAAGGAAGAGAGATAGGAAGAGATGGAAAAGCGACCCGGGCTGCCCAACTGCATCTACCTGCTTCATATGTCCCTTACCTCAGCTGGTACAGATCAGTAAGTTTTGCTGTAAATCCTGCAGTATGTTCATTTAAGAAAGGATATTTATTAAAAAAAAAGGTCCCTCCAGTACCTGGATGACAAGTGAAGTGGAAACAGTCCCAGCTGCACCCAGATTTGGGGAATACTAAAATGCTTTACATAAGTGACGCAACTCAACACTACACAACGGTAGGTGGCTACACTTTATATTCAACTTTAAAATAAATATTCTTTTTCCATGATCTATAACTGTTGCTTGTTTCTAGGTACAACTAGCGAATGGATTGGTTGCTGTTCTTGGGTCCTTTAGTCATGTTGCTAGGTAATTAGGTAACACCACAACTGAGATTAATGTATAATATATTTATATACAGTGCGGAGCTAATATGAGTCTAATCACAGAAGAGGGCCACACTATGGTGCTGATGGTCACCAATTACTTTTAAACTTGCTGTATTCTTGCTGATCAATCATATTGAAGGTTCCAAGTTGTCTCCTAAGTTCTGATTGGTGATTTGGGATGTTGCATTGGATTTAATTTGGTGTGTTTCAAATCATCCTGAAGGGTGCTACACTACCATATTCAGGCAATAGTCTAATAGAGATCCTATAGTTATAGATTATCCAACAAAAAAAATGTTCAACAGGATTATACAAAAGGATTACCTAGCTCCTTTTGGGCAAATCACTGACACTTCTGAAGAAAATTGCAATAATTTACCTGCTCTGGGTGAAAAGTCTTCATTCCTTAAACAAATAGTTTTTCACATACATTAGGGAGTCAAGGAGTTAAGTAATGAAGAAAAAGACCAATTTCAAAGTTACAATTTGTACCTTCAGTAACTTACTAATGAATTCCGGGCTGTGTGTTATCAGAATCATTTTATTTGTTTTTCCTTTCTCATGTCTTGGCAGTTTTTGTCAGTGGATTAAGAATCAAAAGAGTAGGAGGCATGATAATGTCAGGATCATTCTTGAATGATTTACTCAATTCTAATGGCAAACCTCACAATGCATTTTTCTATTTCAATTCTTCTTAAATCTTAAAACACAAGTAATTCTATCTCCTTTTAGTGCCCTTTATAATCATCCTAATGTGTGTTTCACCTGTTTGTTAATTCTGTTTGATGAAACACATCCCTGATTCCATCTTCAACCTAGGTACACTATCGCCAATTGTAGTGCCTTATCTGTTGCTTAGCTGAAAATAGCTAATTCAACACGAGCAAGCCATGGAAAGCTATGTTCTTTTAAAAAGTCAAGGCCTTTTAAATGGTTCATGTTTATGTAGATCACAGGTGCTGAATATTCACTTTCTCTTGTCAAATACTCCGCAGTGAGAGAAGGCTGCTCTGTTCACTGTGATTTTTTTGTTTTTGCATAGATCCTATGGGTATTCCCAATTGACTACTATGCCCCTACCCATATTATCTCCAGATCGTTTTCCATTCACTCTGCCAGAGATGCCTGAGCATCTGCTAAGCTGTGGCTTTTCCAACAATTGTTTCCATTCCGCCGCATTCAATATCTAGTACTTTTATTTTTTCAAAAAGTGCTTTGAGCAGCCTAGAAACAAATTTGTCTCAGCTAAGAGACACTGGTTGCTGTAGCCCATCATTGAATGTACTGCATTTTAGGCGCACTCCAAACGAAAACCTGCTAAAATGTTTTGTGCTATAGTTTTACTCCATGTAAAGATACTGGTGCTCTCTGTAGGTCAGCATGAAAGGCAGCAGCATTTGTTCCCATAATCCATTTCTAAATTCACAGCCGCTATTCTAGAGAAAAAACAAACCACATACTAATAATAATAATCCTTGCATTTGATATAGCGCTTTTCACGTCTTCTCAAAGCGCTTCACAGAATAGACTGGAATAGACTGTAAAGTGGAT